CATGAGCACTTGTCTATAGAACCATCTGTGCTTTTAACCCCCAAACCTTTGTTAAAGCTAACAATTTGTCCATAGGAAAATAATCTGCCTCATTCTGTGTTCTGTATTAAACCCCAAAGATATGGCAACCAGTGCATTCTTAGTAGCAGGAGATAGAACTATTCTCCCCCATTTCAATCTGCTGGGTGATAGGAGCAAGAACTTTAATGGGACTGTAAATATTGTAAGGGCTCTGACTTTGGGGTTACCTTGGTCAGGGAAGTACAGGTGGTAAGAAGTAGGATAAGCTTTCAGTGGGACTTTGTCTTCTCAAGGTGGCAAAAATTCCTACATCTAGAAGCAGTGAAAGGAGTGAAATTCTGGAGGATAGAAATGGAGGTGAGGTCTAGCTGATGCCATAGTTCGTATATAAAAGATGTTCAGTTGTAAAGACACTTAGAATTCAGGGATGATCTATATTACTAAAGCTGAAAAAATTAGTTTGACTGAGACTTCAGATGAAATGTTTTTTTTTCAAATAAAACTCCAATTCTGGCTTACAATTTTGCAGATATATGTGGAAGCTTAAATCCAAATAATAAACTTTGCCAAGAACAGTTTCTTTATGTTGATTGACCCGCAGAACACTTCACATTCTCATAGTTAGCTAGGCTTCTAAACACCTGTGAAAATTGATAGCATGTGTACTATCCCTGATTATACAGAATTCTCCTTTTAAATTAAAAATATGGAGAGAATATTATAAAAGTGTTATGTTATGGCACATAATTGTCTCTCTTCCTGAACCTTCTCCAATCACCCCATCCCACACTGCTCTTAGATTGATGTTCCAAATAAGTAATATGTTTATTGCTACCTACTCAAGGTGTTCTATAATACAGCCCCATTTAAAGAATCAAATCTTATCTCCTACTAAAGCTGGACAAGAATTCTGTGCTTGCTTACAGTAGATTTCTTTCTGTTCCATGAATAGTACATACCATTTTACTTTCTTACTCTGGGGCTTAGCTGGTACTGAACTCTTACCTTTGTCCTCTTCCTAAAAACCTTCTTGTTATTTAGGGCTGTCATCAATTTTCACAAAACCTACCAATTATTCTTGCACATAACATGTATTTTCTTCTTTATCTCTGTACCATACATATTGGCATTTAATTATCTAGCATTTGTAGTGACTTCTGATGGTTTATGATGTGAATTCTGTTTTCTCGATTCTATTAGAACTTTCTTGCTGTATAAAGTATGTTTTCTGTGTCAAACACCAAATTATACCTAAATACTTAATTTTAGTACTCCCTTTTGACTAATTAAGATAGATTTTTAGGTGTGTTAATGTTGTTCTGGAAATGACATGGCAACCCAAGAGGCATACTGTACCCTAATTTTTAGCACAAAGATTACACAAAAGGTAATGGATTTCATATATTTAAAAAACCATCCAAAAACGAGTAAATATTCTCCCCACGAGAGCATAATGAAGTATCATGTAATGCCCTAAAATGTTTAATAGTTGAGTTCAACTGCATTTGTGGTTATTGCAGCTCTCTTATTTGAATAACTAACAGAACTTGTCCATGAGGCATAGATAATTCCAAAGACGTTAATAAATATACCTGAATCGAAGAGCTTCAATATTAGTGCATTTGCCTTTCTGAAGCTTCTGTCCCCCACACTTCTAATGTATCAGAACTTAAAACAGGGTTCTATGCTTGTGTTCTCAGTTGTACTATCATTCAGTTTAAACCTAGAAACTTTAGTGAAGGATTGTAGGGTAATTGACAGAGGTGCAAAAAACAAACTCTTACCACAGTTGGGGTCAGGAGAGGGGACTTCTTGTTTAAACAACTAAAGAGCTGAGCTTCAGAATTATTATTATAATCTGGATATTTTATATTCAAAATGATGACTACTCCTCCCAACGATTGCCTACTATCCTCGCACCTCACTTTTGCTTTACATTTCATAATTTAGCTATTCATATGCTTTAAGAGAGAGTTGAATTAGGTGAAACTGGAGAAATGTCCAGGTTTGATTTCAGTAACTCATTGACAAAGGAAAGCAGGAGTGTTTTGTGAGTATATCCTCTGTGTGTATGCACACATGCATGCATATGAATGCAAACAGGAATAAAAACTATGCTGATTCCATTTACTTTACCTGTAATATCTCACAGATTTCTATAATTTTAAATGAGGGAGTCATTTAGCTATGTGTGTGATGGGGTAGTTTTCCTCCAAGTTCAAGTTGAAGTGGTACATTTTTGGCTAAATATCACTAAATTTTTTATTATACTTTAAGTTCTGGGGTACATGTGCAGATCTTGCAGGATTGTTACATAAGTATACGCATGCCATGGTAGTTTGCTGCATCCATCCCCCTGTCACCTACATTAGGTATTGCTCCTAATGTTATCCCTCCTCAATCCCCCACCCCCTGCTGTCCCTCCCCAGCCCTCACCCCCCAACAGATCCCAGTGTGTGATGTTCCCCTCCCTGTGTCCACGTGTTCTCATTGTTCAACACACACTTATGAGTGAGAACATGTGGTGTTTGATTTTCTGATACCATCTCATGCCAGTTAGAATGGTGACCATTAAAAAAACCTGGAGACAACAGATGCTGGAGAGGATATGGAGAAGGTGGCAGTGTAAATGTGTTCAACCATTGTGGAAGACAGTGTGGCGATTCCTCAAGGATCTAGAAATAGAAATACCATTTGACCCAGCAATCCCATTACTGCATATATACACAAAGGACTATAAATCGTTTTGTTATAATGACACATGCACACGTGTGTTCATTGTGGCACTCTTTACAGTAGCAAAGACTTGGAACCAACCCAAATGCCCATCAATGATAGACTGGATAAAGAAAATGTGGCACATATACACCATGGAATTCTATGCAGCCACAAAAAGGGATGGGTTCATGTCCTTTGCAGGGACATGGATGAATCTGGAAACCATCATTCTCAGTGAATATCACTTTTGATCTGTATGCTGCTGACAAAAGAAGCAGCTCCTTAGTACTATAATTCTTCAAATAGTAATTGTTTGTCTCCGTTTTATATATTATACATTTCATGGTCTTTAAAGTCCCTCCCATTCACTCCCTGATCTTATATTCTATTTTAAATTGATTTAGAACATCATCCACATCGACATCCCTAAGTAAGAAGGCACAATGCTAGTGTTTGCTGGGGGAGAGAGGCCTTTATAAAGAACTACATAGGGGTTCAGTTATATATTAATAGCATTATACGTGAATGACATACTTAGGAAAGAACAGTAACAGCTGTATCTGGCAAAAAGGTTAATTGACTTGTAAAGTATGCAAAGACACTCAGACTAGGATTGTAATTATAGATGACAGTGTCATGACTATGTTTGGTGGTGGGAGCAACTGTGATCCCTCACTACTACTCCATGAGTCATAAGTTTAAGGAAGTCAGAGACCCTAGCATTTGCATGAAGCTGATCCAACTCCTACAGCCATATTCCCAGGATGAACATAAACCATATTTTCTCCAAAGAAAGTGCACAGGAAAATAATGTAAGGTGGATCCTCCCCACCCTAGGAGGAAAATATTTGCTGAGAAAGAATTGATACACAGTGAAACCACTGTCCAGCAATGACGGAATTCCTATCCTTGACCCAGTTCCTTTTCTTAAGGCAAAGGTTCTTATGTTGTTGGAGGAGGGAGGTGGTTATGAGGAGGAGGATGTAGAAGGGTTGGCAAGGGGTAGCACTGACATGGCAAGCCATCCTACCCCAGTAAACTTGAAGGTATTGGTTGGGCCTCACTCCCAATATTCTTCTGTTTCAGTCTTTTCTGATGGGTCAATTAAGTGGGCTTTCAAATAACCAGAAGAGTACTACAATTGCTTTCACTTCTTTAAAAGTCCTAATCATTCATGGGACTCAAAATCGGATTTTGCCCATTGATGTTATGTCAGTGCAAATAACTGCTACCAGCTGAGATAAACTCACAGGCAGCATTAGGCACCTCAACATCTGAGAGTAGGGCATCTAGTGGCACATACTTGCCTTGTTAGATTAACTTTTAAATAATGCCAGCCTGTATATCATATGATTGCCTATTGGGGCTCTGCTTTGTGTGTTATGGCAGGGGGCTATAGTAGGCCACCAGAGCAGGCCTGCTTAGCAAACAAAAACCTTAGGGATCTTTGTCCTTTACATCACAGAAAGAGCTGGTAGTCCTGTCGGAACTCTCAGGAGTTCCATAGACAAGGATGGTGTGGAGGTGACAGTAGGAAGAAACATCTGTGGATGTACCAACACGGTTCCAAATTAGAAGACCTATAGTCGCTGGGTGACCAGCTACAATACTGTGAGATAATACATTTCAAAAGATAGGCAAGGAGTGGGAGTGTCACTGCCACTTCATAGGAAAAATTAAGAGGCTCTTTAGTCAAACAGAATTTGAGTGAGCTCTAGGATTTTACCGAAGTGAACCAAGTGAAAGTAAGAGCACAGGGCTATAACTGGTCTCGTTTTTTCACTACGCTATGATGGACACTTCGATGTGCAAGAAGACCTGACATTTTGGGGGGGCAGAGAAGATATATACCCCTTCCATTTTGTTTCCTCTTTGCTGTAGTTGGCTCTAGAATAAACTTTTGACAATAACAGATACTCAGAAAATATTTTCTAGTTCTTGGTTTACCCATTTGTCCTGCTTTCCACTGTAACCCTTCCTCCTGAAAGCAGGTTCACTAAGCACATACAGCTAGGAAAAAGCAATGCAGTGTGAAACAACGGAACAATTGAAGATAGGAACATCAGTCTGCTAAAACAGATGAACTGAAATGAGATGTGTGTTCATATTTGCTTGAACATAACAAAATTAGAGGAAGATTTGCAAATATCTTCCTAGTTCCTGTATTTTGATTTGCACTGACTCTACTAAATATTTCAAATGACTGCAGTTGGCAATTTCATAAACAAATAAATAAATAAAAATACTCAGTGACAATGAGTCAAAGTCAAAACGTTTTTATTTAAGCTGAAGTTTAGCAAGTACATTTTTAACAAAGAAGGTGTACTTTAACGTAATGTATAGTAGAACAGGGAAACCATACATATAAGTTTCTAGTCTCTAACACACTACTGCATTTTTTCCTTTAAAAGACAAAAAGCCAACTTGAAATGAGCATAGAAAAGCATCAGACATGATCAAGTTACTTTAGCCATTAGGATTTAGCTCATATTTTCAAACTGGTCAATCTAATGCAAGGACAAAGTTTACATCATTGCTTTTAAAATGTACAAGTGTTCCTTTCTTTTTAACGTAACATACATTAAATAGCTGCTTCAGTAAACAAAGCTTTGCTGATAAACACAATTGAAATAACTCCATGTTGAATAGTTTCAGAGATAAACTGGAATCACAAGCATCTTCATTTATGTAAAGCCAGCGAGGACTTTTCAGGCTGAATAAAATTGTTGTGCCATTTCTAAACAGTAATAGTTACCTCCTTTAAAAAAAAGAAAACAAGTTAGTTCTTATGAAGAATAATTCTGATACGTGCTTACAAATATTAAATATCTATTTTCAGGAATCTAAAATGATCTGATGTAACAGGCTCAATTTAGTGTTGGTAAAACTTAACATTTCTTAACATTTCTATATTTCTATTTTTCAGTTTTCAAAGATCCTTCAAATTTCATGCTATAGCATCTGTTCTTCTTTCCACAGCACTAGAGACATTGAAGACTGATAAAGCCTCTTCATGAACTATATTATAGTATCTGTAATAATCTATGTTATTTTTTCTTTCTGTATATAATGGTGCATCTGAAATCCCATCCCTATGGTCTACCAAAATAGAGGGAAATGCATATCTGGTTATGATTTAAGATAATAACAGCTTTTGTACATTTAGAATTTCCTCTCCCCAAGTTGACCCTGAGACTGTGTATACTGCATGAAGGGAGACTAGTTCTGATTATCATTTTAGCTACAGTGTTTTGTCAAACCGGCATCCCTCTAAATGATGGTAATTAAAAGAGCCCATGCTGTCCTGGAGTTAGATAATATTTAATTTGGGATCGTTAAAGTTATTGTTGGACATTTTTTTTTAAAAAAAATCTATTCTACGTCTTTTTGTCAAACCTTGCTATTTTCCTTAACAATGGTTTATAACCCGAGTTATAAATGCATATATATAGATTCATTACAAAGATTGGCTTTTGGTTACAAAGTAGGACAAGAAATGTGGATGAATCAGTACAAATCCATTACCTGTGCTTGAGAAATACTTAAAGTCCATGTTTCTGAGTCAAGTGTTTTATTTTTACTTATAATGGAGAGTGCATTAGCATTGTTGGACTAATACGCCTAATCTTAAATATTAAGTCAATCTGGTCAAAGCTTGTGAGGAGGAAAGCATACCCTTTTTTAACCTTGTGTATAATATCTTTAAAATCCGTATCCTTTCTATGTATAAGGTATCATGGTGAGTAGTGAAATTTTCTAGATAATATATCAGAACCAAAAATAAAGATGTAGTAAGGTAATAGAAGAATCAAATATTTGGGATCTGGGTTACTCAGACTCATGGAGGGTTGGCCTTCATCAGAGGGCAACCAGACATTTTACAAAGGAGCCCATGGAATTCACCTCAGCTTTTCCAGGGACCAGAAGAAAACCAAGCTTGAATTTTTGGACACTGGTAATTGTTCCAACTCCTTAGTGGAGTCTGAGAATATTTACTCTGATGAATTGACCAAATACCTCCTCAGTCTTCCAGTCTACCTCACTCTGTGTATACACAGCCTAAATATCAAAGGAAAGCTCTTCAACATGAAACGACAGTCATTTTACCAGTATTGAAATTTATACAATATAGCTAAAGCTTAAATCATGCAACACAAGTTGTGAACATTACAAAGTGGAAAGCAATGGCAAAAACACACTATACCCCTTAAAAAGAGTACATGAACTCAGCAATGAATAGCAAAAGACAATCACCATTTGTCCTTTAGAAAAATGCAGTTTCTGAAATTTATCTACGTTTGTTATGTTTAATTCTTGCCTGTATTAAGAGACAGAAATATTTGCCCACATCCTTCTTTATGTGTCTGCTTACAAGGCCTATTAGGAATAGCTTCCACAGCTGCTCAAAAATTAAAAGAAAAAGTAAGCTAGCAAAAAGAAAACAATATTAAGTGATCAACTTTTCTACCCAGAATACAATAAATTGAGATTTCATAGTAGTAAAACGTTTTCTCCCAATTTTGAAGACAGTAACAAAATATATCCCTGTGTAGCATGCTGTATAATATTGACGTATATTTGGTTACTGTTTTATACGTGCCAATACTGAATCATCATAAGGAAGATGTCAGTAATGAACTGCTAACTGACGCTGATCCTTGGAGCAATCTCAAAGTTTGCCACATTTCAATTTCAAAATGCATTTCAGCTATAATATGAGTGATTTATCACTTAGTAGTAGCTGTCAAAGTACTCTCCTAGATAAACCAAAAACATCTGGAACCATAAACAGAGAAGAGTAGTAGCTGAATTTTAATCCAGACCCAGTGTGCTGACTTCATTAGGAACAGGAAACAGCTAATTAGTAATGGAATGTTTCAAGTTTTTAAAAGGGCTTGTAGGTGAGCTCCAAACAGAGATGATCTGATATGAACTCTGGATGCCAATAAGATTAAAGATCAGGAAGAGAAACTAACAAAGTCTCTCCAGGGGAATGTTAAGGATTTTGAAAACTTGAAAAGAGAGACATTCACTGACATCTGGGGAGAGCTGACAGAGTTTATTGCTTTGGGATTTATCAGATAGGTAAAAAGGGGAATTTGATACATACAAATATGACTGTTTTTAAAGAAAACACACAGGCCCATGCAATCCTTCCCTTAGCACAGCATTGACTGACATGGGCATATGCCATGGCACAGAAGGTCAGCATGGACACTCCATACAGGAGAGGAACCTCTCCTAATCAGTTGAGTTATCTTTACTGGGACACAACTAGCTGCTCCAAACTCAAGTCAATTGAGACTTGCCCTCTGTGGTATATGTCTTAAGCCTATGAGCCAGAATAGCTAAACTCATGCGTCATAAACAAGGCAGATATACGGGAAAAAGTCTGAAAAAAATACACATAAGGTGTCCTCATAGTTCAAATCAAGTAAATTAAACGATCTATTTATTTTTTAAAAAGACACTAGTTTATTTTTAAGTGACTTAGTTAATTTGGAAATTCTACTTAATGTCCTGTGTATTCCAATATACGCTATTTGATTACATAATGATGAGACTTTCTTGGATATTGTATTTTTAGGGATAATGTATTTCACCTCTCATTGTTATTTATTTCTGATATTTAATATTAATAAAAGTTTTGATTTGACTTGCCTCGATCCTTCTCCATGACTTATTTCTGATTTGGCATTGTGTCACTGAATCGAGCTAAACAGTACACCTACTCTACATAAGCAGACCTTCTACAGACCATGAAGAACACCAGAATCCAAATGCCTATGCTTTAGAGTACATTCCTTCAGAGCATGGAAGTACTGAAATGTCACATCAATATGAATTAACGTAATATTTTAAAGTGTTTAGGATGGGTGGCCATTCCAGCAGAAATTGCATGTGCTACCATGGGGAACCTCTTACTAGAAAATGGATAAAATCTCAGTTGGTTTTTTGCATAAGATGTGTGGTGATTCTGGCACATCAGAACTAAATGCTAGGGCAGACGTAAAAACAACACAATGAATTAGATTTTGCTTGGTGTAAGGAGGGCACTTTAGAAAGGGCATTAAATCTTTTTGATCATTAGAGTACCATATAACACCTTGGAATGTTGCTCTATTAGATTTTTAGTAGGCATGAAAATGATGATAACAGGTATCCACCCCCAGCCAATGGCCAGATCTCCTCTAAGTAAACTGTTAAAACTATTTGAGGCCATTTCCTGGGCAATTCAAGCCAAACGACCCATTTGTTCCAAGTCATTTGAACATGTTAGGAATCTGGCTATGTCTAGACCAGAGAGTGAACAGTGTAAAATATCGATAATGTGACTGACTCATCTGTCTTTCTCTTTTCTTATGCCTACATATTTTTCATTCTGTTTGCTTGTTAATAGCTTAATAAAGAGGAAGCAAGACTGGGGATGGGAGGAGAGAAGAAAACAGTAAAGGGGTTATTTTTAGCAGCTTGGGTATCTGTTTTTATCATTGCATTCTTTACAAGTAAGGAATGTGCTGGTAGAAAGGGGTTAAATGACTTGCTCCACTCTCAACAGTTCAAAGGAAAAACTGGGTGTGGTAAAATCTAAAAACTAGAGCCCCCTATATTTTCTTAGATAACACTACAGGCCAACTGTTTCTTTTAGAAATGACAGCTCCAAAGCAGTGATAACAAATATCGATCGTTTGCACAAATAATATGCATTGATATAATTCCTGTTAAACACCAGGTCAAACAAGAAGTTATTTCACAGTAATTGCAGCTTAAAGTAGGTGTGTCTGCATTTTAATTTGTCTCACACCATTTAGAAATAGCATTTTCTCTGTTTTAAAAATTCTTCCACCTACTTACCCCACTAGGATTCTGTGTGAATTAATGTGATACTGTTTTTGAAGCACTATGAACTCCTTGAAAGAAAGAGGTTAAAGAAGTGGAAAATATATTCAGTCACTATTATGACTATTCCCTAAAAACTTGTGAAGCCCATTCTCTAGGACATTTTTCCTGTATGTGTAAGGTTCTATTTATCAGTAATGAACACACAATAATTAAAGGTTCCATATTTTAAGAATGTGAATATGAATTCTAAAGAATTTACAACACTAGATAAACAGGTAACTGCTACAGCACCCTATTCGTGCCTATGATCAGATGGAGTTCCGGCATCAGTGTTCAGGCTGCACAGAAAAAACAATAAGACCTGGTCAAAATTTCATTCCAACAAAGAAAATTCAAAATCTACTCAATGCACTTCACTGAAAACCACAAACTCACTTTATAGTATTTCACTGTGCTATATATGTTCAAGATTTGAAGAAATCTCTCTGCAATTAATGTATTATTTTATTAGGTTTATCCATTAATCAAATATTCATTTATATGAGTCTGATTTTATTAAAAATGAAATTATACAAAGGTGAGCAAAACCATAGATTTGCAGTAGTTTAAAGCTTAATCTTATTCTCTAGGGGTGATATTGACAATATAAATATGGCATAAATGATATTCCCTAACTCTAAAATATACTTATGAGCCCCTTGTGCATGTTCTTCTGCTTTACAACCTGCAGCAAAATGCATAACTAGCTTAATAAGCAAGGCATTTAGGAATTGTTTTTTCCTCCGCAGTCTAAAACATGAGTAAAGACCTGTACTGTTTTTTGTGAGTGAAATGTTTGCTAATGAATGTAATGTTCCCTCAGTATGAGATTTCCTTCCCTGACACGATGGTTATTTGAAAGTAATTGCTCACTTTATAATTTTCAAAAAAAACTACCAAGAACTGTGTCTATAATGTGTTTAGAAGTTTATATTTACAGTAAAATGCATTCGTGATATTTCCTACCCAAGGTTCATGTTTGTTTCCAAGTGTCTCCTCACCACTTGTTTACCGCTGTAAACAACGGGACTGCAACATGAACTAATAGAATTCACACAGGTATACTAAAGGCTATCAAATCTTTCTTTTGAGGCAGCTAAGCTACCCTTGAACCAATGGCAATATTTTGTAATGAGTTCTCCAGCTAAGAAGTAAGTTCCATGTTTTCTTTGCGTTGCTTAATTAGTGCTGTACTTCTGATTTACGAATAAGCGCTATATTATTTAGCAGCATGTAAGATCAGCTCTTGAAGGTCACGTTTTCCTAGCCTGAATAAGATAGAGATATCATAATGTGCTAGTTAATGTTCCCCTTATTTTCCACTTCAATATTAGATTCAATCCTAATTAAATGTAGAATTAATTGTAGAAACTCAACTTTAGTTGTGGAAATATGTTCAGCATATGATGTTCTCAAATCAAAGAAGCGACAGTAGTGAGGATAGTTTGGGGTCCAGTCAGTTACTATTGCAGTAGTATAAATATGAGTTACTAATTTAAAAGTAGGAAAAGCAGACAACTGTAAGCAAGGAGAAGCTATAATATAGTGTTTGATTACTATTTTTCTAGAGAGGAGCACTATTTTGGACTCACGTTTTTTAGAAGATGCTGGTGGTTAGTTTAGAACATGGTATATTTTTTAAAAACAGAGGTTTCATGAAAATAGTAACCATTTGGGCTCATTAGCCCTTAAAAATATCCGACTTACAATTTAATCAACACGAAGACCAGGATAGATCAATAGGTCATCTTTTTTGTCTGCAAATAGTATCATTATGGAGTATCCAACTCTCTTACTCACTTGTAACTCACCCTGGTTTTGTGAAATAATTATTTAACACCCCCCGCCCCCGCTTCCCCTTTATTGAATCTCTAGTTCTTAGAAAATATACCCTAAAAAAGAAGCATAAATGCCCTTTTGCTTACACATGGGGATAAAATGTAGAGATATAGTTACCATAACTCTCCATGGGAGAGCACATGTTTTAGAGGAAGTTTTATGCATCACTTACAGACCAAAGAGTTCACTCCTACTGAAATCAACATTAGAGAACACAGAATCAAATTTGTGTGTATTTTACAAGGCACATTAATAATGATATCTCATACTTGTGATATTTATCAGGTAGTATGTATCTAACTTTATGTATCTAACTTACTGATGAGGAAGATTAGGCAATATTATAACTATTTTACTAAAATTAAATCAGACAGAAGTTAAATGATTTCTCAAGGTTAGTAACTGAGTTGGCAAGTTAGTAACTGAGAAATTCTGCTCTTTCTTCCACTTCATTGTGCGTCTCACATACTGGTTATAAAATGGTAATAGAAGTGCATGTGCCCAGTACAGAGATCTGCAGCTGTTGAGTCACATGAAGAGCTTTAGAAGTACTTAAATTCTATTTTTCATCTAAGAAGAGAGAGGAAGGGAGAGGATAATAAATGAAAGCCAACATGTATGGAACACCATGTCAGGAGCCACTCCACATGTACATATGGCACATGTGGAATGCCAGCTTCTTTCATTATTTTCTTGTTGTGGATAATGCTACAGTGAAAAGTGCTGATTATGTTTCTATGCCATTTCTCTAAATAATTTGAAATCAAATCCCCCACTTTTCATAAGCATAAACGTTATAAAATGTTTCTTCTTCTTCTTTTTTATTTTTTTTCTGAGAGAGTCTTGCTCCATCGCACAGGCTGGAGTGCAATGGTGCCATCTCGGCTCATTACAACCTCCTCTCACCTGGTTCAAGTGATTCTCCTGCCTCAACCTCCCAGGTAGCTGGGACTACAGGCATGCACCACCACACCCGACTATTTTTTGTATTTTTAGTAGAGATGGGGTTTCACCAGGTTAGCCAGGCTAATCTTAACCTCCTGACCTCAGGCAATCCACCTGCCTCGGCCTCCCAAAGTGCTGGGATTACAGACGTGAGCCACTGCACCTAGCCACAAAATGTTTCTTAACAGTCTAACTGATTTTTGTATAGGACGCATATTGGAAATATTTTAAGGTAATGTTTTAAAGTATTTAACTGCTACATTTGCCTGCTAGACTTATAGAAGAACACTATAACAGTTGATGTTAGATAAATCAAACTATGGAGGAAAGTGAAAAATGGAAGTAATGAATAAATAAATGTTAATTTGTACAATGTTAAAAATGACGACATCCAACATTTCCCATAGAAGGTTGAAAGGCAGTTACCAGGAAATTGTAGCATTGAAGGATTTGTTGGTTCTCTTTATTGAAGATTTTTCCTCACTCATTATTAAATAGTTGCTCATAGATGCTGAGATCAACATTGCATTTATTCATTTTTATTATTTTAATGAAAACAAGAGTGATTAGACATTTGTGAAAGCACAGGAAGATAGGAAATAAATGTAAAATAATGACACTGGGGGCAGTTGGTGGGGGTTGGGGAGAGACAGTGGGGGGTGGGGAGGGAGTGGGGGGTGGGGAGGGATAACATGGGGAGAAATGCCAGAAACAGTATGCACCTAAAGTAAAATAAATAAACTTTAAAAAAGTAGTGATGCTTTCTTCAAAGCTAATAAAGTAATTGGTGGATATGTTGCTCCAATAATCATTTGCATCACTGAAAAAAAGTAGATTCTAGCTGAAGTATGTGGATCATTACCAATGTTAATTTTCAAATATTAAATATCAATAATGTTACAATGTTAATTTTCAAATATCAAACATTAAAAAATGCAAAATGTAAACTTGAAAGCATCAACAAGTTTAAAGGAGGTGTGTATAAAATCCAAAAGAACATTTTTCTTTAAATTCACTTTAATTTCCAAAAGGTAATATCACATGGCTATTATCAATGAAAAGGAAGTTCCCTAGGGCAAATAAATAAAATGTTTTGCTAATGCCACATAAGGAATCACAGTTTAAAGTTAGTTAAGTGGCCAGGCACGGTGGCTCATGCCCGTAATCTCAGCATTTTGAGAGGCCGAGGCAGGTGGACCACCTGAGGTCAGGAGGCCGAGACCAGCCTGAACAACACAGTGAAATTCTATTTCTACTGAAAGTTCAAAATTAGCTGGGTGTAGTGGCCCATGCCTGTAATCCCAGCTACTTGGGAGGCTGAGGCAGGAGAATTGCTTGAACTCGAGAGGTAGAGGTTGTTGCAGTGAACCAAGATCAGGCCACTGCAATCCAGCCTAGGTAACAAGAGTGAAACTCCATCTCAAAAAAATAAAATAAAATAAAAAGTTGAATTATATAAGTGAAGCTCTGTTGGAATCTAGTTCTAACAGACAGGACAAAGTGAGTTTAGTCACGAATAAAAAAGTTTATTTCTGTTACTATTTCAGCTGCTCCACACAGTTTTAAATAGAAAAGGGAGTTGTATATTTGTCTAAATTTTATAAATATTACCCCAATCTCTTACAAACTTTTAAGGCAGAGGTGATTAATTTAATCACCTCTGCCTTAAAAGTAGTCTGGTTTAGACTATTTTGATTAATTAACTATGAAGTAGAGACACCTCTGCCTTTTTCCTGAACCCCCATGCACTGTTCTGCATGGGGATAATACTATAGTCTTGTTACATATCCTAACTAGCTAGCTATGTGAGATTTTTACAGGAATGGATTGATTGTGATGCATAGTGAGATGAATGAGTGAGAAAGTTAAGAGTCCTGTATATTAGTTCCCAGTGTCAATGACAAGCAAATTAACTTAGGTTACCTCCATACTTATAAAATAGAGGTTAATCACACCTTCCCAAACTACCTCTCAGAAATAATCCTCTGAGAGAATATTATGTGAAGGATGACACAAAGCACACCATGTTATACATATAATAAGTCATGCCTTTCTTTTTTCACTATTCCAATTTTAGGCTATGAATTCCTCATTCTTAGAATGATAAGTATCTTGGAACAGAACCACCACAGATTCATGTGGCAGCAATACAATTATTCAAATTTTTTTAGGTACTATGAAAATGATGGTGTATGATTACAGTCTCCTATTAAAATGCTGTTTGTTTTAGTTTTTAAAACACAAATGTAGAAGTAGAAAAATAAAACTTGACTTAATCTTTTAATCAGGAAAATGTTTTTCCTTTTGCATGTTCTTCAGGTATACTTAGGTTGGGGTTGATGTATGGTGAATTTCAAGCTTAAAAAACTGTATTGTATATGTAAAGAGGATGCGGCATAAAGTAACTGGTCAAGCAGTTATCTGAATTAATTTGAACAGACCTTCCTAGATTATAGTAAAAAACACCTATGAATTAGTGAATTACTCCTGTAGATTCAACATGCTTACTAGCAGA